CGAATACTTTAAACGTACAACAAACTCGTACTAAGGCCTCTGTACGTAGGTAATAGATACTTATGTATGTTTGTGAGCGATTATCTCGCGATTGGCTGAACCGACTTTGATGCGGTTTACAGAAAAGTTTTTGTTACACTTAGGAGAAAGTCAATCACTTAGTCAATTAAATAACCGACTTCAAAAAAGAGAGGGTTGAAATCGCTTTTTTAAACGTAGTTTTTTTTATTTAACTACTATAAGGTGAATAAATATACTAACAGTTTTCTTACATACAGTATTTTTATCTCATTGCGAATTGGCGATTCCAAACTTACCTATAATTAGAAATGATAAGTCCAGGTTTCCTCACGATGTTTTCCTTCACCGTTGCCAGTGGTGTCTAAATAATCTTTGAAAGTACATACCTACAATACATATACATAACTCGGAAAAAAGTCACATTGGTAGGTAGGTTAAGAACCCGTCTTAACTTCCAGGCCACTGATATTATTGATTAGCGTATCATGTAAGATCTTTTTAACAATTAATTGACCAGGAAAACAATGTAACTGTAATATGACAAGGGCACGGACACAAGTCCGTAGATAAATATAATTTCTTAATAAAAAAAACTCCGGGCCACCACGCCACACACTACAGACTTATAGCAAGTCTAATTTCATATGCCGGCCACAATTTCAGATTCCTTCATTGGAATTTTCAGTAGAGAATGTTTTTTCGAAAAACTGAAATGATCAAATCTTACAAAGTAGGTCTGTACATCTGTATAACTCTGAAAAAGGTACCAACGTGACTTGTTGTTGATAGGTTACGAGCCCGCACTGTCATGCATGAGAAACTGGCGCCTTAAACCTCCGGGCCACCACGACATAATCAACATAACAATCAGTAATGTGCTGTACATCATTAATTCAGTCTTCCAAATGTAGGTGCTAGTTAATTTCCTCTATCTCCATACGCTACAGTAACATTAGGGGGGGTGTGTATCTACCTACTTAAACTTAATAATTAGCTTCTCAATATTATTTAAACTGTCAAACACCGCGAGGACACCGGTGACCGCAACCTATTGTTCTTTAATTGTGTCTATAATGACGGTACTCAACGAGTTAAACATTAAATGTATAGATTTCATACTCATTAAGAATCAGACTATGGATCACCAGTGTATTAATTTACACCTCTACTGAACCATTTGGCAAATAAAAACGCGTGATATTATGTTATTAAACGCCCACAGTAACAAATTAATTGTGTTTCCAAAGATTGCTGACTGCGCTACAGGTACACTAGCAACGGTTTGCGCTTACGCTGCACTAACAACGCTGCGCCTGCGCTCGCACACAACTAACACATACACAACCACATAGTCAGATTGCTGAATTCATAAAATATCGTATATAAATACTGGCAATTTCTCTACATTCGACACACTACAAACCGGCAAGATGAAGGCAGCTTGTGTATTGGCTTGCCTGGCTCTAGCCACCGGCATCTCCGCGAGTATCTTCAAGCAGCAGGAACGACGAGTGGACGGCCTCGATGTTCTGCAGCCAATACTTAATAATAAATACATCAACGAACCGCTGGGCTTGCTTGACTCAATCAAATCCGTAGGTCAAAACCTACTAGACAACACTCTTGGAAACAAGAAAACCCAAGAAGAACAGCTGCAGCAAGACCTGAGAAACTGGAACGTACAACTCCAGGAACAGCTCCGGCAACAATCATCCAAACTACAAGAGCAGCTTCCTGAGATCATCCAGTACCAGCAACCTTCCGTGCCCCTGCAATACCAGCAGCCGTCTCTGCCCCTGCAGTACCAGCAGCCGTCCCTGCCCCTGCAGTACCAGCAGCCGTCCCTTCCCTTGAAATACCAGCAACCGTCCCTGCCCGTGCAATATCAGCAGCAGTCTCAGCGTGTGCCACGACATCAGCAGCCTCTCCAGAAACCCCAGGACTGGCACTCTACCCATCAAAAGCCTTCCCAGAAACCTCAGGAACCCCAGGACTGGCACTCTACTCACCAAAAGCCTTCCCAGAAACCTCAGGAACCCCAGGAATGGCACTCTACTCACCAGAAGCCTTCCCAGAAACCACAAGAATGGCATTCCACCCACCAGCAGCCATCTCAAAAACCCCAGGAATGGCACTCTACCCACCAGAAACCTCAGAATCCCCAAGAATGGCACACTTCTCATGAGCAGCCTTCTCTGAATTCTCAGGAGTGGCACTCTACCCACCACCACCAATCTCACTTACACGACCATGATCACCAGCACGATCATCACCATCATAATAACAAGCCTCGTCTAGCCCTTGAATCGTCGTCCTCCAGCGAAAGCTCTGAGGAATCCCAGGAATGGACTAACCAAGCTAAAGAAGTACAACAAATCCGAGCTCAAAGGTGGACTCAGCCGAAACTGCCCCTTGTAGACTCCATCATGAACCAGAACAACCAAAATGTCCAATCCAACGGTAATGTCATCGGATTGAATGGTTTAAAGATGACTGTCGGACCCAAATCTCTTTTCCAAGGCGTAGAAGACATTGAAAAAATCTTCGGCGATGTCGAGAAGGCAATGAAGCACATTCAAGTGGAGGACAAGATCAAGATACGTGAAGTTTTTGAAATCGCCCAGCAAACAGAAAATGAAGATGTTGTGCTCAATGCCACCCAACTGGCACAGAAATACGAGTACACCATCGAGGAGCACACTGTCAAGACCGACGATGGCTACATTCTCACTGTTTTCAGAATTCCCCCTAAGATGCGAACTCGTGATGTTCAGAAGAGGCCTGTTGTTTTCCTGATGCACGGTGTTCTTGGAAGTGCTGACGACTGGCTGCTCATGGGACCAGGCAAGTCACTCGCATACTTGCTCGCTGATGCTGGCTACGATGTATGGCTCGGTAACGCTCGTGGTAACAAGTACTCCAGACGCCACGTCTCCAAACATCCCGCTATGTCAGACTTCTGGCAATTCAGTAACGACGAAATCGCTCTTCATGACTTGCCAGCCATGATCGACTTCGCTCTGGAAACAGCTCAACAGGAGAAACTGTACTACGTCGGTATTGCACAAGGAACTACTTCATTCTTTGCACTCACTGCCACCCGCCCCGAGTACAACAACAAAATCATCATGATGTACGCTTTATCACCCATGGTCTACATGACAAACGTGCGCAGTCCCCTTCTCCGCATGATGGCTCCCACAAACAAGTTCCAAGAACGTTTAAATCGCCAAATTGGTAACGAAGCCTTCACTCTCAGCAAGGAACTGATCGACACCGTCGGAGGAGTTATGTGCGAGATCATGATCGGCAAAGAGAAACTCTGCTCAAACGTGAACTTTATTATGTCTGGACTGAACGTAGACTCTATGGATCCCAGAATCTTGCCCGTTGTGATGGGACACCTGCCTTCAACCACGTCTGCCAAGGTAATGAAACAATACGGACAAAGTGTTGCTTCAAATGAGTTCCGAAGATACGACTATGGTCCTTACATCAATTGGCAAGTGTATGGTTCGGAAGAGCCTCCTAAGTACAACATCGCTGAAGTACAAGTCCCAGTTACCCTGTACTACAGTGAGGAAGACTGGCTAGCTAACCCCGAAGACGTGGCTAGGCTGCAAAAAGAACTTCCCAATGTGAATGAAGCTGTCAAGGTGCCTGAGGAACACTTCAGCCACATGGACTTCCAGTTCTCGACCAAGGCTCCCGAGATGGTATACCAGCAACTCATCCAATCCATGCAGAAACAGCAGCAACAGCAACAGTAACTAATAGAGAGCACGGATGTTTAGATAATTTCGTAGATGTATCATGTCATTGTAATAATTTATTTTTTTTACTTCATCGACGCATTAAATAAATCCGTCCATTCTTTTTAAACTTTGTTTAATTATCTACTGATGTCACAAGAACTAAATATTACAGAGAAAACACACCACAGAACTCACGCTAGCCACTTGAGAGTTTAACAAGCATCTAATATCGAATACTCGCATAACACAACAAAATCAATAATAAACAAACATTATTATTGAATTATATACAATAGATCTAATTTGATTAAGTTCGGTTCTTACGCCGTACATTGATCAAACTTCATTAGGTACCTAACTACACATTCACAAAGAGGAGACTATAGACGTAAGTACATTATTGAAGGCATGCAATACTCCCTGTCTTAATGCCATACTATACTTAAATAATAATATTGTTATTATTTTGAGTAGAAGGAGAATTTACTTGACTTAAACTTGAGCTAAGTCAAATTACTTTATTAGAGTAAGTTTTGAGAGAGAGAACCATATTATTATGTTTCGGCACCTTCGGTATGAATGGATCTGCCTAGCTAGGCCATCATAAAACTAAAACTACATACTAAGTACCTACCTAGCTATACATAAACTATAGGAAGCCTATGCAGGTAAGTAGCTAACATTATGAACAAGTACTACTTAGAAGGCGTAAATTAATATTTATTACGAAAATTTGTAATTCAAATTTACGGAATAAGAAGAAAAAATATACAAAATAAGAAGAAATACAACCTTTTGCGTTACGTAGTGTAATTTTATTAAAGTAAGTATTGTATTTTGTAGAAAAACAGAATCCATCAAGCTATTATAGTTAACAATATGAAGTTTGAATGAAAATTTTCATCAATATTAAACTAATAGACGGAGATCAGAACAAGATGTTATTTTCGTATCCTACGAGTTATCTAGACACTACAGAGTATTACTCAATGAGTTCAGAAGGCGGTGAAAACAGTGCTAAAATATCTTTGTGCCCATTTTTCTTTTAATTCATTCAAGTTTATACAGATGTCGCTACACAGAACGGTTGAATGTTTGACATTTTATAGAGCCCACGCTTTGTTTTGACATATACACTTGCATCTGTCATCAAATCGTTGTTGAGCAAGCGAGAAAGATATATGTATAAAAACAAGTTAGAACGAGATAGAGGCGCGGCGGCGCTGTAGCTTCCCGCCGTCCCCCGTTCGACAGTCGCGCTCTGTTCGGTTTGCTGTGCGTAGTTGAGCTCTATTATTTTCGTTTTCTGCTTTTTAAGTGGTATTGCCAGAGTTATTTCTATACCAGGACGAATTTGTTATTTTATACTAGTGACTGAGTGTGAAAAGAAGTGTTCGCATGGATTGAGTGAGCAACGATGTTACCTCCCACGGCCGGTCTATCACAAGAACAACGCGACCGGCCCGACATGGCGTACCAGCAACGTCAGGACGTGCGAGAGCTAACCAGAGAAATCATCAGAAGCGCTCGAGTAGCCAACAGAACACATTCAACATCCCCTGGAGGTGAGCCGGTCCAAAATCAAAACGACGCCACGTTTCCGCCATGCTTGTCAAATTGACGTGATATGTCAAGGTGACATTTATATGAAAACATAGTATTTTTCGGGGGAAAATTACAATAAAAACAAATCTCGGAGGCCTAAAATCTATAACTGAACCTATCACATACAGAATTAGGACTGTTACGTCACCATGGAGCCCGATCTTGCGAAAGTAAAATGGCGCCAATGCGCCACATTGCTTGCTTATCATTAGCTAGGTATCTACGTATAATATTATGTAGCTAGGATACATTTTACCGAAGAATTTTGCCCTAATGAAATTAAAACTGTCATAAGACCCTTTTCCGTTATGTAACCAATATTTTCTCAAGCTTATTGTTGATTTGGCACGTGCTTGGGTTATTTTTAGCTCGACCATTTGTGTCCTATGTTACGTGGACGCATCGCGTCAATCCGATCGATATTTTATGTGCATAAATACTTAGGCACTTCAATATTTTACATATTTATAGCGGACGTTATGTTAAGTGCATTCGTTTACATGATGTTTGTTGTTGTTATTGAATTCCCTTTGACTTTTATAAAATGTCGTGGTGACAGTAAATTGACAGCGCCCAACAGTCAACATACACAAGATGGCTGCTTGCCCGCCATCGAAAGTAGTCAATTTTAGTTCAATCACGCGCTGCGCCAGGCGGCGCCACTGTCGCTTTGTTGATATTTTCAATTTGTTTGTCTTGTACATTATTTTATCGGATTCTTTTTCATGAACCAGTTTATATCTAGTTTCTATTATTAAAATGATTTCGTAGTTTTGATACACCTAGTAAATCAATGTACTCATTGATTTACTAGGTGGCTTACTAGCCACATACATCATTCAAATTGTTTACATAGTGGATTGCATATAATAATATTATGAACTTACTTATTTCAAAATAGAATAAAGCATAGTTTTGGTCCATGACATTTGGTGATATTGTATACACCAATCTTTTTTGAATATTATATTAATTGTAATAGGTAATAATTTAAATTGGAATGTACAATATACCTATTAATTTAATTTTAAACCCACAAATTAGACTAGAAAACTGTTCAATAATACTGATAAGATAAATTAATATTAGATGACTATCCTTCTATTGTTTCCCTTAGTAAATATTTACACAACTTTTGCAAGATAAAGATGTGTAATGATCTGAGTAAAATTGGCAATGTGATTAAGGTGACTGCAGGCTTAATTCTTACCCATTTCAAATACTCAAATTCGCAATAGGCCAGCAAAACACTTGTAGTTTTTTTATGGTACCTATAGAGCTACAAATAAGCATACAGATCACTTGTTGGCAAGCAATTGGTGTCTCCCATAGACACTTGCAAAGCTAGAGGAGGTACAAGTTCTATTGCCAGCAATTTAGGGATTAGAGTTAGGTATGATTGGGCCTTTGTTTGGGTCTCTATTTTCAATAAGAACAAAGGCAAAATATTTGAAAATAACAGTGAAAATAACACCATTGATCAGTGAAGCAATTACTTGTTCCAAAATGAAGATTCCTGTAAATAAAGAAAATGTACAAGAAACTCCCAAGTTGAATCTTTTTTGTGACAAAATAATACTAAGTGACAGCTCTAAATTTATACTCCTTTCTTGCCAATGTTATCCAAATTGTCCAATTACAATAAATTATGCATGTTTGGGTATCATAAACTATTGAAATTATATTCAGAACTTTTATTATCTATTGAATGACCTAAATTACAAAATGTCTTGTATAAATCTTATCAATCATTGACACTTCAGTACACAGATAAGAGACTGTTGCCCTGTAATTTGATGGTTTATCTCGTTATGATTATAACACATTAGATGCTTTATCTTGTGCTTCTGTGCAGTACCTAATACATTTAAATTAAATACATAATGAAGTAGTATATTATTCATGTCCAAATACTCAAACACAATGGCATTTGAGTATTTTAAGTTGTGTTGAAATACAATTTCTTTGGAAAAATAAAGGTTTCCTACTTACCTACACCTTATTAGAAAACAAAAACATATCATCTGAGAGTACTGGATAAAATTTTATGTGCCTAACTAAACTAAAATAAACTGCTAATTATGTTAACATAATTTTCTTCCCCCAAAGTTTACTTTTATAGATTGAGTACCTATTAATAATATTTTACTTTTCCCGCCTTTTTACTAAAATTTTGTAATTATTGTATTTCTTAACAGACAAGCATGAAACATTACTTCTGTTGATTTATAAAATTCTTTATTGACGTCTATTACGCGTTTTGAAACTCGACAGATTTAATAAAGGTAAACAAAAATTACAAATAGGTACTCTGTGAGAGCTCTTATCTTGTCGTCTCAGTATCTTTAAGTACAAATTAGAGTTAAATTATGTATCATAACCTCTTTAGATATCTCTTTATCAACCCATTTTATAACGGGAACCATCAATCACTTTGACGACGCGGCGCGGGCGGCACGAATTGACGGGCGAAATGACAATAGATGCGGATTATCATTTGGCGCCATTCGGGTCAGCAGTTCAGCTAGATATACATAAAACTATAAATCACAAAGTATTGGACTGTAGCTAAAGTTGTTTCTTATCATTGATCGTTTTATATTGATGCTTGAGAATCGGAAATAAACAAAGTTGCATGATAATGATAAGGTTTTGAAATTTTTTGATGTAAATTACTATAGTTATCTTACACAGAAACAAGCCTTCATAAGATGACACGGAATACTGATCATCACATTCTTGGGTCATGAAATACTAAATGAAAGAGTTTCTTATCATAACTTCATAACATGCATCATGAAAGAATGCAAACTTAAATACGAAGCCTAGAGCAAACGCTTGGTTATAATTTAAACAATCATTGCAACACTGTATACCTACCAAGGTATTGCATTACCTCGATGCAGTTTACGCAACTGGACGGCCTGTAAACGTGCTCCGTAATGTCAGTCTGTTATCTTGGCGGTTGTCCCGCGCAGATGTTTAGATTGTGTTCCGGTTTTGATGCCGGCTCCCGGCCTATTCTTTGAAGCGATTTCTATAGATTCTATTGAGCAGAAATCTTGATTTTGAATCTCAGATAATGTATAAAACTGTGGTTTGACGATATCTACCGGAAACTTACTTACATTTCACTGCTATTAGAGTCAAACAAGGAATGAAGTAACAAAAAAGGAATGTTTATTTCTATAAGTTAATTCTGATCGATAACCACTAAACAAGTTATTGGTTGGGATTGTGATGTTTGTACCACTTCGAATAAATAGGTATAGCAGCTAGCAAATTATCCCCATGATAAATGTGACAAGTTTCTGAAATAGTTTCTGGCCTATAAAAGGGGTTAACTGTTTTTTTCAACCGGACAAAATGGTTGCGATTAGGCACCTCATTAACAGCAGTTATTTTTTTCTCTATCTTTAACAACATCATAAGCTAAGAATAGCCAGTTTATGTAGTTTTTTTGAATTTTGTATGATTTACCATGAAAATATTGCAATAAATTGACCTAGAATTGTTTTACCATACCTTTGAACATGCCAATTCTGATTTCGCAGTTTTTGCACAGTACCTTGGTCATCCTCGTTTATATTTTATTAAAATAAATTTGAAGAAGTTAGTACATCAGTAATTAGTTGGTTCAATTTTTGTTGTATCGTAGCGCAGCACTGTGCCGCAAACGCAATTCCGTTGCGGGCTTGCGGATATCGATACAAAACTAATTTTTTGACCAGCTGTTTAAGTGAAATTCCATAAACGTTATGTCCATATCCTGTGACTTGCCTACTTGTGATTTCCCACTTGCATAGGTAGCGAAAATCCTGGTTAAGGCTAGAGGATGAAAAACGCGCAGATATTTTTACTTTAAACATCCAACATTTCCTTTACTTACGTCTTGTCGGGTGTCTTTATCTCATAGGTTTTAAATTACACGGGTTTTGTGCTCGTACGTCGTCCGTTAACAAAACAACTTCTGGTAGGACACAATGTGTGTCGCGTCTCTACTTGTAAAACAATACCGTCCACACAATGACGGGTTCACGAGAACGTTGTTTTGTTCCCCACTGAGCTAATTTACTTGGGCCATTTGAGCGGACCGTTATTTGAATAGATGTATAATCTACTGCGCACCAGTAGTGCTTGGTGTCCTTAAACTGACACTATTCTAATATTGATAAAAAGTAAAACCTTAGTCTATAATATTTTCATCATAAATGCAGAATCTTTACGAAATGCTTAAAGAGAAAATAGAGCTTAGTGTAGTAAGCTAAGAGCTACAACGCAGTAGTTACATTATTGCACCCAAGTTTTGTATACTTTGTAAAGTCGCAGTTTGCAATGATTTTTATGCGTAGAAACATAAAAAAATCTAGCGTAAGTTAAGTACTTGTTAAGTCTTTAAGCAGCTGTCAAGTAACCGATTTATAAATTCCAACAAAAGCTAAAACATACAAGGAATTCGTGTAAACAGTTCTTTCTACGTTGTATAATTATTTAATTAAACAGCACCAAGATTATTTCAAGAACACTTAACAGGTTGATACGAGGTAGTTTTGTCAGTAAATATTGTTGTCCTTGGACGTGTTGCGTCACCCCCGGCCGTTCACCCGCATCGATCGCACCCCGGCCACTTCCGTCGCCACACATACATACCTGCGAACACTCGGAGATGACACTGCGACAATTTACCTACCTAGCTAGAGAATACTTCAAAATTGTTGCGACATCTCATACAGGGTTGTTCATTTTTTTATTTTATCTATTCTTTACTTTTACTTTTTGCGATTCTAGTTTCTTATTAATATTTGCTTTTACGAATCTACCTACGTCATGCAAAAAGTCAATATTTATTCGTTTTGGACGAGAACTGAACACAAGATTAGTACTGTAGCGGTCAGTGACCACGATTTTATTGTGACATCCTCATATGGAGCATTAAGATTAATAATAATGGCGCCATTTCCTTTGCTCTTTCGTCACCCTTATTCCCTTCAAAATAGTGTTCAAAGTTGATTAAGCCACATTTACTGACGCCATTCATTATACTTCTAAAACAGAAGATCCTCCGAACACTATTCCCGTTACCGTCATAAATAAGTAATTTTTTTTATAATGAATCGTCACGTTATTAAAATTGCCATGTAAACAGAAACGTACGCGACTCACGTATTCACAAAACAAATGTTGACTCCGTTAGTATCAGGGCTACTTTTTTTTTTTATAATTATTGTGGTCCTTGTATTACGATGAGGCAGGTATCGAGTTTTTTTTTTTATAACTCTTATAACTTCCTATTGATGTATTGACATTAATATAACTATAATAGTTTATTGGAACTGATTATTTATAGAATAAACTTTTAAGCTAAAGATTTTTTTTTTTAATATAGGAATGTTTGTAATAATAGGTGTCCGAAAAGAGAAAATTACAACATTTCTTAATTCACGTCTGGAAACCGCCAACCCTAATCTAAGCTACGACATGCGTAAATAATTTACCAAAGTCATGAGTTGACAATAGATGCGGGTCACGCGTGTTTTGAAAATACGTACGACGTGATTTTCACAGATTTATTAAAAGGATATTGCCTGAAAATACAAAAGACATGCGTGACATTACACTCGATGCGTTCAACGGCAGAAGTACAAGCAACCGTGTAAACAAAGAGAAGCTCAAACAAACTTCATATTACAGAAATTTCAAAACCAAAATAAAGTTATTCGATCCAGAAATAAGTAAACAGGATCTCATGCACTTACTTTACATAGCAAACTGCCTTCAATTTGTTAGTTTACCTACACTTTACACAATGAAAATGTGAAACAAAAGCTGATTATGTAATAAACATCCATTCGCTGATACAATGGTACAACGAAGACAAAAGCGAACTAATGATCCGGTAATGTTTAGCTAGCGCGTATAATACATTAAATCATGCACCTGAAGCAGGTATATAATGGTGGTTGCATTCTAGAATCACTGATTTTGCACCATGTTGAGGAAAATGACCTTTCCCATGACATGTTAGAGTTGAAGAACTTTCTTCATCATACATGTACACATACTAACTGACTAGTAAATTAAGCAAACGGCGCCTCTACTACTCCAATCATAAAAAATGAAAGAAAAATTAACATATTTTTAAATGGAATTAGGTATTTATTTCCAGTTCGAGACCGTTTCCCGTCAACATCATCAACGGACGACAATGAGAGCGGTACAGATGGAGAAGCAGACAGATCTCGTCGTGTCAGCCTCATACACGGAGGAGTGCCGACACCTCCACCCGGCATCGTGTCCATTCGCAAGCGACGAGGGAACCTTGCGAAACATTCTGTCAAGATTCTCAAGAAGTGGTTGTACGACCACCGGTACAATGCGTACCCTAATGATGCTGAGAAGATCGCGCTAAGTCAAGAAGCTAACTTGACCGTATTGCAGGTTAGTTCTACCACCTTGTTATAGTTCCTTGTGCACTGTCAACAATCCCATCTGAGACATGATAAAAGAAATATTTTTCTTTTTTGACCAGGTATGCAATTGGTTCATAAACGCTCGTCGGCGTATCCTGCCGGAGATGATCCGGCGCGAGGGCCACGACCCGCTGCACTACACGATCTCGCGACGCGGCCGCAAGCAGCCGGGCGGCTCCAGCTCTAACGCAAACAGTGCCGGCGTCGTCGTCGCCTCCTGGGACGGAGTCGAAGTTGAGGTAAGAAATATACATGATCTAAAACACTAAAATGATATATACCTACGCAAAACAATTAGCCTTTACTCGTTGCACTCATGTTTAAACAAACTTGTTACTGATATTTAGGGAGATAACGAGAATGTTATCGGCTCAGGCGTCTACTATAAACATACAAATTATAATTTTATAACATAACGACTGAGTTACCCGAATTACGAGATTATATGCGATATATCACAGTATACATTATACGAAATAAATTCATGCCGTTATCTCATGGATGTTGGTGTAGGCTGAATTTTTAATGCTAATATTACGATTCTTGCATAACCCTCATTTATTCATTTTCATTCATCATCTTCATATTTCTCTTCTTCGAAACTACTCCAAATGAGATCAGAATGTTATACGTGTATTGATAAATAGCATTTTGCCAACAGAACGACGCAGACCGCAGCGCCGAGCAGGAGTACAGCGACGGGCTGCTGGTGTACCGGAGCGACGGAGACGACATCGGGGATGGAGAGGAGGGATACTCATCTAGCGCTGTCTCAGAGGAGGAGGTCAAATACGACCCCTCCGTCTGGCAGTCCGTCATACGGTACGGACCAGAGGACCAGGAACTACACCCCGTCGCCCGAGGGTTGGTTACTGATAGGTCTTTACTTAGGGCTCCTACATAAGCTAGCAATCATAATTCATTCTTCATAGTTTTTTCAATGCTATGGAAATGGCTTGCTACTGACTCTTAGGCCACATTTACGGAGACTCGCCGCGTTAGGTTTTCGTCGTTCATTGCTGTAGCGGGTCGCGTCATCGCTCACGCAAACACAAACATATGAGCAATGTATGACGGACGCCCGACGCGCCGCACAAGGCACCGCGTCTCCGTAAACGAGGTCTTATGATCACATACAGCTAATCTGTGGGAGCCTTATAAGTGAAAACGGCGAATGCGGGTATAAAAAGGCGAAATATTGTTAATATTAGGAGTAATGTTACTTACAAAGTGTAACAGACTAAATGCGCGAGTTATGTTTTTGTTTAATTTCCAGAAGTTTAAAACAGATATTCATTCAATTTATCTGTCTGTCCTGATTCCTCAACCAGTACCTACTTGCTAAATCTTGTGTTGATTCTATAAACATTATGTAACTTTACAATGGCACTTTGCAATTCTGCAAATTATAAAATATCTGTAGAAATTTTTTATTTTTCTTGACCATACCTATAATATTTGTATAAGTGAACTGGGTCATTGTCAAAATTTGTATAGAACATTAACTAGTACCATGGTTTCTAAGACATACATTGACATATATGTTGATGCTGACTATAGTTATAAAATATGACAATTAACGCATTGACAAAACTTGGGCGAAGTATGTCAATGGGCTAAGGTAGCGCGGAGGTATAAGCGTGTGTGTATCTCGTGATGCAGGCGTACGGCGGGCGTGGTGTCAGTGCGCACGGAGGCGGAGGAGGGCGCGGAAGCGGGCGCGGGCGCGGCGCCGGCGGACGCGGGCAGCAGCGCCGAGGGCGGCGCGGCCGGCGGCTGGCACCCGCAGCTGGCGCACCTGCCGCAGCTGCCGCATCCACTGCGGCGCCGGCTACAGGTACACTGCACGCCCTCACTACCGCCACACCCCATCTCACAACACCTACTTATGTTTTAACCCAAAAAGAAAGTCATCTTCGTCTTATAGGCATGAAAATACTTTGTAAAGACACAAGCAAATCCAAGTACTCTAAAGTCAAATTATTTTTAAATGCATATTCTAGCTTTATTTAGAATACGCTTGGTTGATTGTTGGGAATAAATTCTCACATCTGCATAAGTTGTGTACTGTGCAATGAAAATGGAAGGAACTTTCTAATCCGTTGTAGACGGTAATAATAATTCAGAAATATGTAAATCACACATAACCTTCGCAATGATGACTAAGAACTCGGGTCGTGTTCATGGCAGAATATTTTTAGCCTAATTTGCGATATTGTTTAAATGCTGAGCTGGTAAATGAGGTGTATAAGTGACAATCTTCAAAGTTTCTATTGCTTTCGATTTAAAATTGAATGACTAACGAAAATCGGGTATTGAACATTTTTTCTTCCTACACTCCCATGCTGTTAGGCATCCTTATCAGCTCGGATTCAATTATTTAGTTAATGAATATGACTTAACTAAAATCGCGGGTTACTCACGTGAATATACTGAGAAATAGCTCTACTAGTTTCGAACCACAGAGGGGTTCTTCCACATGCGCAGCGTGCGCGGTCGCGGCGATATCCCGCAGCCTACTGGCCAGCGTTGGCACTCGCCTCGGTGTTGCTACTTAATTTGTGAATAGCATCGTTATTCACAAATGTTCCAGTAGATGAAGCGACATCTATAATTACCAAGATGCTCGAGGACACTGAGTTGCCTACTGGATACATTGCGTGTGTGAATCATTGTCTCACTACAGGTTACTTCCTAATAGTAGGGGAGCCCACGATGCTAAATTGGGATTTACTTGAGCGTCCTTGGGACCTACTGGATTTTGAAGATATGCTGATAGAAAGAAGAAATGGTTTAGTGACAATTTCTTCCACCAGTGGGGGAAGGGGGAATCTACAGATCTTTGAAATTGTTAAGCGTAACTTTTGTTCTA